TGAGATGTGTTCACATGACGTGTTAACCAGTAGTACGTTATGAATAATTCTCAATTGGAAATATTATGCGTTTAATTTGTTCTATGAGTACATGTGAATCAGTTTTGTAAAAGCATTCTCAACCCGAATCGGTATATTCATAATTACAGTTTAGTTACCTTCTGAGATTATAATTTGCGTTCGGCAAAGAAACCGCAAGGTTGTGTTTCCGACATACAAGTGTCTACACCTGATGTTGGAACAAATATTGCCTAAAATGGCAAAACATAATTGAGAAAGTTAAAAAAACATGTTTAAAATTCACATTACAATAAATATGAATATGAATGCTGCGTTTTCTGAATCAACATAAAAAAGGAACATATATGTGAGTCTTGAAATAGTGTTTTTTACATTTCTTACAAATTCAAAACACGTTTGACTAAAGATCATTGCTTATGACACCATATAAACATGCCAAAACTTCAACACACTTTATCTGTTGTTGGAATAAACAGTTTAAGTTACAATTTATTCAGCAACATAGCTGCAAAACTTACACTACAATGAGATCAAACAAGGTATACAAGCTTATATTAATCTCGTGAATGGGAAAGTCAAAAGCATTTACTCACTTATTTGGGGATTATAAATATAGTAATACTAATAACGGGAAGTGGAATGGCATGTAGTAAATACATCGTACTAACAGTGTCACAATTAGAAGCCAACAACTTTTATGTTTCGTCCCCGTCTACGCAACCTGTCAGCATCTAATCATTTGGAATAATCCTTTCCCGCGTTTCTTTCAATTAAAAAGAACTTCATACGAGGGGGTCTGTGATCTTAAAACACAATAAGTATGTTTACGTAGACACAAACACACGTGGTGTGGTCTGGTCTGGTCAGTAACTGACAACCTGCTGATGACAAATGTCAATACACCGGGTCAGTAAACTGACCACTACAATGATCGAACGATGTGTGACGTCTACTATTCATCTAACAGTTGAAACATTTGTACATCAACGCATTCGTTTTCTCTTTGTTTGAGAGGCATTGCTTAGAAGTTGACGGATGACAAGGTAGACACAATTTTATGGATAACGTACAAATGTGTCTACCTTGTCACTCGTTTTCTACCAAGGATTTAAGATAAGGAGGCCTCTAAACGTGTAAGTTATTTTTTTTTTACAAAAGAATAGGATTTCGATCAAAAGGTTACAGTTAAAATGACAAATACAACGTTTATGTCTATAAGGTTATGGTGAATTTTGGCTAAGGCGAAACAACCACTACTTTGAGAGTGGATGTTGAGAGTATGCGAAAAAGTGCTTCACTTTGTATACATGTAAATACATATGCATTTGATGATACATCTGTTGATTTTGACAGCCAAGGCCAAGTCGGACCTAACACAAGCCAAACACTTCTGATAGAGACTATGTTGAGAATGTAGAGGGAAAAGAGCTTGACTTTGAGCACCTTGTTTTCTTTATATACCGCCATCTGAGACACTATAAAGTGGTATTTAGGTAGATATAATGCTAATCTATAGATGTAAATCCATTTATGATACATCTGTGCGGTTTAAGTTGATTTTGACCGCCCGGGCCAAGTCGGACCAAACACTTCTAACAGAGATTTTCTTAAGACAATACAGTAAAAGTGCTTGACTTTAACGGACCAGTTTTCTTTAAATGCGATATACTGTGACATTATAAAATGGTATATAGGTAGATATAACACTAGTCTATAGATGTGAACACATTTGAAGATACATCTGTGTGTTTAAAGTAGATTTTGACCGCCCGGGCCAAGTCGGACCCAACACAAGCCAAACACTTCTGACAGAGACTATGTTGAGAATGTAGAGGGAAAAAGGCTTCACTTTGAGCCCTTTGTTTTCTTTAAATACGATTTACCGTGACATTATAAAGTGGTATATAGGTATATTTAATACTAATCTATAGATGTAAACACCTTTGAAGATACATCTGTGTGTTTAAAGTAGATTTTGACCGCCCCGGCCAAGTCGGACCCAACACAAGCCAAACACTTCTGATAGAGACTATGTTGAGAATGTAGAGGGAAAAGGTCTTCACTTTGAGCCCCTTGTTTTCTTTAAGTACAGCGATCTGAGACACTATAAAGTGGTATTTAGGTGGTTATAATACTGATCTATAGATGTGAATCCATTTGATGATACATCTGTGAGGTTTAAGTTGATTTTGACAGCCCGGGCCAAGTCGGACCCAACACTTCTGACATGGATTTTCTTAAGTAAATACAGTAAAAATGCTTCACTTTGAGTCCCTTGTTTTCTTTAAATACGATGTACCGTGACATTATTAAGTGGTATATAGGTCGATTTAATACTAATCTATAGATGTAAACACATTTGAAGATACATCTGTGTGTTTAAAGTAGATTTTGACCGCCCCGGCCAAGTCGGACCCAACACAAGCCAAACACTTCTGATAGAGACTATGTTGAGAATGTAGAGGGAAAAGGTCTTCACTTTGAGCCCCTTGTTTTCATTAAATACCGCGATCTGAGACACTATAAAGTGGTGCTTTGGTAGATATTATCCTAGTTTATACATGTGAATCCATTTGAAGATACATATGTGAGTTTAAAGTTGATTTTGACCGCCCGGGCCAAGTCGGACCGAACACTTGTGTGACTGTCGAGAGTATAGGGAGACGAGGTCTACTATAACCAACGTGTCTGCTTTAAATACGATAAACAGTCACATTATAAAGTGGTATTTACTTAGATATAGTACTATGCTATACATATAAACGCCATGCCGACAGATGGAAATTTGTATCACGAGAGCTAGAAGTATTTGATACGTGTCAAATCTTATTTCGTTTAACGATTGCTCTTTTACACGTTACCTAGATCAGCGACCGCTTACACACTGCTCCACTTTCTGGTTTTCAAGCGATTTACTCCGAATTACTTAATTATGGTGCACTTTTTTGTTTGGTGATTGTGCATCAATTTCATGTGTGTATGTTTCATCAATTATATGTAGGTATGATCGCCGATAATGAAGTAATTAGCCAATAACACTTTGGCCCGTCTTGGCCCGGCCCGGCCCGACTTTTAGGCAATGCCGTGTTTTCAGATGAGTCCTGATTCACATTGCACTTCCTTGATAGGCGTGGTTGTGTCGAAATGAACGTCAAACCAATGTCAACCTGAGACCTCGTGACAGATTTGGCAGTGGATCGGTTATTGTCGTTCTTCAAGATTGTTGGCGATCATAACATTTATTGTCATACTTCACTACCGGTTGTAAAGTGTTCCTAATTCTTTCATTATTTTCAAACAATTACTTCATAGAAACTAACATCTCTTACAATTTTAGAAATTTTAATTTATTTCCTAGTATCCCCGACATTTTTTGGAAGAATGTCTATGCTCGTACATTACATGCCTTCATATAGATTTCCGGGAGCACGGATGGCCCACTCGTCTAAGGCGCCGCGATTCGCTGTGCAGAGTTGCGTCCCTTGGCCACGCCAGAAACCTATGATTGTGGTTTCGAATCCCGGTTCGCCCCGATAATGTTTCTAGGTTTGTCAGCACTCGTGCTCGTTGGATTCACCGAAGTGATAAACGTCTGGGACCTGCATCACTTCGGGCTTCCCTCCCACATTAAGCTGACACGCCGCGATATAACTGGAATAATGTTAAAAGCGGCGTTAAACCCAACTCACTCACTCACTCACTCATATAGATTTCCCAAGAAATGACATTACGTTTATTTATTTTGTAGCTGTTTGGAAAGATAAGTTTGTAGAATCCCTCTCTGTATTTATCATGTCACTAAAATTTCGATTGGAGGATATTTATTTACAAAACTGGGTTCAATCCTTAAAAGTTTCAAACAAGTGCATGTATTATAAAAAATGTATTTTGGAAACATAGACTGAAAGACATTTATCTCTTTTAAATGGAAAAGCATTTTGAATAGCTCTAGCTAGATTTCGATTTTCTTCGCACAAATCTCCCGATTTTTCTGTTACGTAATTAAAATGCAGAGAATAATCAGTCTCGATTACCTCACGAAACAGATACCACTGGACAGGAAAGGCAAAATAGCGATATTCGCCTAAAGGTGAAGCATGTCCTCCCCTACCAGTAGCACCCGTCACTCGCACAATGTGCCCCAAACATTTTTGGTTTGCCTGACACCGCACAGCAGCCCACTACCAAGTTACTGATGGTCCAGAAACAAAATCACACGACATCGCATTTATCGATCCAGTTGAAGCCAAAAAAGACATACGCATTTTGAAATACGTTTTACGAGTGCTGAGATTCTGCTGCTTAAAAGTAAAAACAAAACGTTTAAGAAATATGTTCGTTTTGCAATAGAGTGGAGCAGTTTTAATGTCTCGACCCAAATATTTCTTTTATAGTTGAATCAGCATATTTGAAACTGAGGTTATGATGAAACTCGGAGACTTCAGTCCACCAACAGAAACATCGACCCATTTCAAGTATATATGTAACGTCAAGGCCAGAGAATACCCAGTCTCGGTTTTCTGACGAAACTGATATCATTGGATAAAAGGGAAAATAGTGTTGAAAATTATATGAATGGATCACTGAATATCAGTGTTGATACCAGGACCAGTAATGAATTTCTTCTATATGAACAATTGACTTGCCTTTGCAAGTGTTTGTGATTGGCACCACCGGTGGGGCAGGATACTCTCAGCTTTTCGCGAACTTTCGCGACTTTTTATGAATATGGAAAGGGTTTTGTGGCTTTCTATCACATTACATACGTAAACAAACTTCCTTCAGTTTCCATTGCTAGTATCTTCGTCATTCTGAACTTTGAAACATCCTCCTAGAGATCAATAGCACATCAGAAACATTCAACATATTCAGTTTGAAAACTCCTACAACAGTGACTTTAAAGGCCAGGCTTTGTCATCTTAACTCTGTACGGAAGGGGTTGCAGATTCCTATTTGGACGACAATGAAAGCAATAAGAATGTACATATTTTATAAATAACAGAAACAACTGTCAATATCTCTTGTAAATCTTTATACCAAAGATTGTGTTGTTTGTTGTTTAACGCCGCACTGACGGCGGTCTGTAACGAATTGAATCTGGACCAGACAATTCAGTGATTGACATCATGAGCATCGACCCACGAAAATGGGATAGCGCATGGAAATATACTATTTGAAGATCACAAAATTGTAAATTACAAAATATACGTAGAATTTCCATCATATGCATTAACTTAATGTCATGCACGATGTGTCGCCGGTTGCTTGTTGCCCGTGAGAATTAACAAGACGCGAGTGTTTCTTGTAGAGTATCTCCCCAATCAGCGCCACCAGAGCTAGGCTAATACCAATGACTGCCGCATACACGACACTCAGCAGTCCGATGAAGTCAATCTTCTTCACGTCATAATTACTGGCTACACAACTAACGTTAGACGTCTCCTGATTGTACCAATGTTCAATAACGCCATTCTCACGAAGGCGAAGTATTCTGAAAACAAGATGAAATTACACCATTTTCATAAATATTGAATTCACATTTTAGTATTTTGTATTTCATTCATTAAATAGTAATACAAGTTTTATAATTTTGCCAGATTATGTTTTTCATCCTGGAAATTATTACTCATACAAATGAATTTCCTTGACTTCATGCTTAATTATGTAAAAAAATATGCATGTCATAGATATAGGTAACGATGCATCTGGGTGACCTACTCTTTTGAGAGCATGCTGGTGAGGCTGCTATTTGGGGGCAGCACCATAGCAAATATCAGTGGGTAGAAGATGTCACTGATCATGTGCAGGTCGCAGTTCTTGACCCTCCAGTTCCTCAGCGTCAAGGTGTTGGTGATGAAAGCGTAGCGTCCAGTATTCACCTTGTGAAGATGCACGTTCAGGTCCACACTGAGAACACTAGGATCAGATACCAGCCTTGCTTCGATACCTTCCCAAACCTGTTGGTATTGCGATATATTTGCATTCTGAAACAGACGGGTAATTGGGTTAAGAAAAGAAAAGAATAACGTATTTTTTGTACATTTTTTTTATTTGTCTGCATGTATTTGTCAATGGTAACAGATTTGATAATCCCAATTTATAGCAAGGTTTCGCCATTAGGAACACATGTAGAACCAATTAGGAACAGGGAATCCAATCAATCTGGTACTGTACTTAATTACATCGTCCGACTTAACAAATGTCCGGATAAACGAATGATGGTGGCGATCCTTTGGCTCAGTTGAGGTTCCCAACAAGATCGTTCGGGAGGAGAGTTTCTGGATTAACGGGTGTCCATACTAACGGTGTGTCACTGTAATTCAATCATGTGATCTGTCTGCTACATGGCCATAATAAACCGATGCCACGTTTACTCACAACCCTCTCAAGGACAAAGATGGTAGGTGGGGCAGCCTAGTTGTTCATCACGAGTAGACAAGAATCGATGTCGAACTAGAATGTGTGAAGACAACTTCAGGTCCCCTTGCCGTGATACTGCTCAATTATAGCTAACTGCGGCGTATAACCATACTCACTCCAGAAATCGGTTATCGACAAAAAAAATGACCTTGAAAAGTGTTTCATACGCCGACCCCCCGAGGGTCCCCCAAGTGTACGTGTCCTGCGCCACCATCTCAGCCAGAGTGTTGAAAGGCAGTGTGGTTCTGGAGGCAGTGAGGAAGGCTATGATGTCGGCACGGTAGACTGCCGCTGTCAGCATAGAGAATATCCACCAGGCACCCATGACACAGCGCCCAGGGAGACTTGACGGAAGCAGGAATTCATTTACACCTGATTAAAGATAAACAAACACTTGACTGATCGTAAGATCGATATGCTAGATTCGGTCTAAATATAATTCTTTGTTTTTCAGCCCCATACCAATGCTCGTGGATTACTTTGAGTTTCCCTCCCACATTAAGCTGACACGCCGTGATAATGCGATTTAAAATACAACGTACTTAGTCAAACACAAGTCAGCAAGCACCGTCCGAATATCCTACCGTTTGCCATGAGAGCAGCAAAGTGCACGAGAAGGCTGTCTGCACATCGGTTCCACACCCCCGTCAATTCCCTGGCAGACCAGAGGATGGGATGAACTTCCTCCAGCACACAGAGGAAGATGGTTGAGAATAGGAAAGAGATGAATATACAGATGAGAACAACGTTCTGAAACTTGTTGGCAAGAATCAGCCATTTCGTGTCGTAGTTGTCAGGCGTCTGAATGACAACGCAGCTGACGTCATAGAAGTACGGCGCTGTGAAGTCCATGATGGCGGCACGATCTTCAGTAACCGCCAGTGGCGATGCAATTACATCTGTCCTCTGAAATTGAATCGGCTTGTAGTCTATTTTGACTAAAAAATTAAACATATAATCGTGTACATTGTTGACATTTCTGTATTACATGATTTGAACGTTAAGGTAAACCAATCCTCCCAATTATTGGTATCAAAGACATTTCGCATTTGCTTTGTAGGATTCAAAGCTTCACCTATAGAAGGAACTATTACTAAATTATATGTGGACTGAAAATATATCTATTTAATCAAGTAAAGTTTGACTATTTATTATCAAGCGTATGACTAGTTATCACGGAATGCGTATGAATACAATAGATGATGACTTTTCATTGTTTTCGTCCAACTTTATTATTCTCCTCTTAGCGCGCAGTTTTTTAGACGAGATCAGTGATTGGATGATGCTACCCCCCCCCCCCCCCCCCCCCCCAAAAAAAACAACCAAAAAAACAAAACACAAATGGCATGAAGAAAAGCCATAAGCATCCAAAGAAATATCAACATGCTTCGAATTGTTTAGCGTCAATCTGCCAGTCTGAAACCCTTTAAAGAGTGCCCAAAAGGTGAGTGTTATGAAATATTGGTGAAACAACAGACGCTAAACAACAAGCAGTAATAATTCCCAAGACAAGAACTTCATTTCCAAGGAAGGTTAATTTGGTCAAAGGGAGGCTACTCTAATTTGCATAATGAAGCGTTATTCCAGGGTCGTAAGTAGTCCGGCAATAGATAATGCTAATTTCCTGTAGACGCGACGTTATATTGATTTTCCGAATTTGTTATGCGCCGACCGGAAATAATAATCGTTGTTGACAGTTACAAACATCTGTGCCTTTCAGGACTATTGTTTTTCCTTCAACAGGTGAAAAATTAATACCCATACATCTTGTGTCGAAGACATAATCAGCCAGGACAAAATTAATCCTTATTCAACTGCTCTTACAAAAGGTGGGAGACACAGGATTTGTTCTGCCCACAACTTCCACGGGATGTGGGTGGGTGATTTGCTGCTGAAACCTACACCTGAATACAGACCTCAATTAGCACCAACATGTAAGCATCGATTCCTTGCAAGTTCATCAATTTCAATGACGTTAAAGGCTGTCAACTAACCAGGGAAGACAAAACAATGCCATGGACATTATTTGTTAGGTTGTACAATAGCTTAGCTCTGTTTATTGATATGAAACTGCCCCATTGGTATGTTATTAATAATAACATGACAGTTTTGTGAAGTGCTAGGTGATACTGAGGTTCGCTTATCAATAGATTCCCCTGGTGGATTTCATCCTAGAGAAGCTCTATACAAACTCTGGGTTCCAACCCCGGTTCGCCCAGATAATGTTTCTTGGTTTGACTGCACCATATCTGTGCTCGTGGGTTTCGCCAAAGTGGTAAACGTCTGAGACTTGCATCACTTCGATCTTTCCTCCCACTTGAAGCTGACGCGCGTTAAACACAGCTCACTCTATCGAGGGGAATCACAGCGCTTCAAGACTTACTGAACAAAGACGGATTTGAATTATTTCAAAAATGAGAATTTTGTTTTCAGAAAATCGTTTATTTGTTTGTTCTCTAACGCGGCTGTCACTTCTATTCAAGATAAATCACGGCGGCCACTAAATAACCCGGTATGGGCCAGAGTTTGAGTGATATTATGTGACGTCACAAGACGCCGGGGCACGATGAGATGAGGCGAAATGGGGTTTAACGTCGCATCCAAGATTATTGAACTTATATAGCGACGTGCATGGCCGTTTGTGTGTGTGGCTGCTTGTACTAGTCCGGGCTAATTTTGTAGTGCTAATTCACTGACATACCATGCCGCAGTTTAACATGAATACCCCACTCAGACACAGTATGCAGACTCCGAGCCCCTTTATGCCAAAGGCAGGGTAACAACAAGTACACGATAACAAGCAATCAACCATATCAACGAGCACCCGATAAAAATTACTGGCATCTCACATCAAACACAAAACTGAAAAAGTGACGGATCAGGACCGCCCGACACTATACGTTTCTGTGTGCAACGCGTTACCTCTGTAGAGCGATTAGGCGATCGTGAGGGAAGCAGAGGGTTCTTACCCCTGACAGTAGATCTCCTATAACCCCTGTCCATGACCCGTTGACGTACCGGCCCCACTCGTTGTCAACAGGTTCCAGCAACACGTAGCTTTAACAAAGAATATGTTTGATGTCAAAGTAAATTTAAAAAATGTATTTCAAAATTAAGTTTGTCTTCTATTAATCGACACCAAGATTCCGACAATGGAGAAAAAAATAGATTCAGAATCTTAACTTTTAGTCGAAAACTATGTCATTTGGGTTAAAACTTAACTGTCTATCATATCCCATCTAGCTTTTCACTTCTTACCCAGTGGTTTATTCACAATATATGTTTAAGAAACTCTCTACCTGAAATTCAGTGTTTTAGCCATCTGTTTGATGAGGTTAATGGTCACCCCGGAGTAGTAAACTGTTCCGTTGATTATCGTCTTCACTATGAAGCCGGGGGACTAGATGTGGAGGAGAACAAAGGAACATAGAAGGGTTATTGATTTTGTTGATCACACGTCATTACTGATATCCAGTAATTATAGGTCCGACGCCACTAAAGCCGATTGAATAAATAAATACCACACGTCTAGAATACTGACCCAGTATTAGGTGAGTGTATGCAGATCATGCATTATGAAAAAGCATAATATATTATCTCTTGCTATGATCTGTTGAAACATTATCAGAAACATCACACATCAGTTGGTTGGTTGGTTTGTTGTTTAACGCCGCACTCAGCAAAAGTCCAGCTATATGACGGTGGTCTGTAAATAATCGAGTCTGGACCAGACAATCCAGTGATTAATATCATGAGCATCGATCCGAGCAATTGGGATCGATGACATGCATCAACCAAGTCAGCGAGCCTGACTACCCGAACCCGTTAGTCGCCTTTTACGACAAGCATAGTTGCCTTTTACGGCAAGCATGGGTTGCTGAGGACCTATTTTACCCCGGAATCTTCACGGGTCTCACACATCAGACACATACTATTAAATTAAGTGAATGTAGAATAGACAAAGTCTTTCTAAATTTGGTTTTAGAAAAAAAAGAGACTTATCACGGCTTCGTGAAGAGGTCGTAAGATTCCAATTATCCAAATCTACTTAACATCGTTTTTTCAACAAATCAGATTTTACAATACAATTTAATACACATGTCGGTCGCATAACACAGGACTGTTTTCTCTTGAGATATCAAGTCTAGTATGTTGCATTGCTAGCTTGTTCTTATTTTCTTTTCGTTTTGTGAACCACGGAGGGGCTGAGCCAGTGTTATCTTGATCTGGCGTTCAAACAATTTGTTATACCTGTTTTATCCCCAATCTTAGCGTTCTGTTGTTCAGACCACAGGTGTCACACATATGTCCCCAGAACTTGGAATTAATTCTGCATTTCAGTCTGTTTCTGTCCTGGAGGAGATGAACAATATTGTTTTTAATTCAATGACTTAATAATGAAGGAAATGATGGCATCATACTGAAACTGTTTGATGAAATGAATCATGTTGAACTATTTCAAAGATTCCAAAATGAATTTACAAAGAGATTTAACTAACGAGAGTTTTCGTGACTTACCCTCAGTGCAGCATACGCAGTTTTAATCCCATTCTCCTTTGAAGTTGCAGATGCAATTCCTCGACTAATTTCACCCAAATCCTGAATATGATAAATTTTTAAACACATGGCAAATATATTTACACTCCGAATACCGACGTTACAGCTCTCTTCTACTTGCATAGGACAGGTAACAACAAAAACTCATGAGTGTCCTTGTTTGTTTGATGTATATATCATCGCACTCAGCAATATTCCAGCTATATGACGGCGGTCTGTAAATAATCGAGTCTAGACCAGACAATCAAGTGATTAATAATATGAGCATCATGAGCATCAATCCACGCAATTGGGATCGATGACATGCATCAACCAAGTCAGCGAGCCTGACCACCCAATCCCGTTAGTCGCCACTTACGACAAGCACAGTCGCCTGTTATGGCAAGCATTGGTTGCTGAAGACCTATTCTACCCCGGATCTTCACGTGTCCAAAACTCATGAGTGCCAGTATTTTTCAGCAGGAAAGCCCTTCCTTACACTGTTTGTAGACTTAATTAACGAGCACGTTTGGGGTGTTGACAATCCAACTACCATAATCAGTACGAATCTGGGATTCGAATCAGTGATCCTGGTACATTTAATGGGCCCAACTCTGCACAGTAAATCCTGCCAGCGGGAAATACGTTTGAATATACATGTGTATGCTACTACCACGAAGATCAGAATCAAACAAACATGTATAAATGAATGACATTTTATAGCACAAATTCCCCCTCTTTGAACGAAAGGTCACAGGTGCGCCCTTCATATTAGCGTCCAGTGTGTGTTGTTGTACACTGTCTAGTTTCATTCAGAAACGAACAGAAGAAAAACAGTCAGGGTCTGGTGAGAGTGTAAACGTGGTGAACGGAGTGAAATACTTTACCTCGGCTGTGTATTGAACGATGCAGGGTTTCAGATTGATTGCAGCTACGTCGAAGTTGGTGACGTTTTCTGTGTCGATCATAATGTCTACATCATCTGTTTGATCTGTGGATGCCAGTAGCCACTGGGTTTTTCTTGTTGGGTCGTGATTTTGATTTTGATGAAGATCATATACCTGTTAAAATGAAAGCGACAAAGCCCTGTCCATACTAATATGAAATCTCTACGAAAATCTGAGTCCCTTGTATGATATCATGAGCATACGTTTATGAATCACCTTGAATAGTAATAGTACCAGGCGAAAAAGTGAGCGTACCCTGCCCCAACGGTGACATCCATCACAAATACAAGCAAAGGTTAGTCAATGAAAAAAACACACGGGAACATCTGGTACACGTCAAACTATGAAATTGCAGGCGCCAGATTTGGAAATGTCTTCCACATGTCTACGACAAAACGTTTGGAAAGCTTTAATGATGGAAGTCAAAATATGGAATTGCTTCGGACATTATTTTTAGAGATGTCAAATTTGAAAATGTCTAACAAAATACATTTTGAAAGCTTCACTAAGGCCTTGACTGTTGTAACCCTCATTTAACATTTATAGCAAGAGCTGATGACGCTCTTTGAATACTTCGTTGAAAGAGCGAACTCAAATGTACCAGTCCTAAAAAAATTGAGAAATGTCGACAACAAAATCAGGTCCTGCTGGACGATGTTTTGACATTAAAGGAAATCTAACTATTGTAAAGCTGTCATTCCGGAAGCATTCACTGTTGGAATTGGTATATTATTGTTTGTAGGTGAACTTTGATCACCATGTTCGCAAAAAGGGTAGAGTTGCCGGTAAGCAAAGCGTGTCCTGTCCTACCTGTAGCACCCACCATTCATACGATTTGCATAAAAAGAAGTAAAGAGAACCGATTGGTAACCAAATATCATATTTCGTCTCAGTATATCTTCTCATATGAACATCGTATGTTGATTCATTCTGATTTGACCTGCAGGTACTCGACTAAAATCGTTTTGTGTAGCTAAGGATGATCTATCTATTTCTTGAATTTCGGTCAAATCCTTCAATGTCAGGCTGATCCTGTTCCTGTTGTAAATGTCAATGATAAAATAGGTAAGAGGCTAATGTCGTAACCGATCCTCCAATATGTACTGTTCTTGGGAACAGTTTGTTGTAACCGGAAGCCATAACATATTTGCCAACATCATAACAGAAGCAGTATCCATTATGGCACATGCACACTTTCACTGACCTGTTTGATGACGTTCTGGATGCAGGAACCAGAACAGACAACGATGAAAGTGACGGCATGTTCTGTTGATGTTCTGTAAGTTGTGCTCAGATTTTGTCCTTTGGTTAGGAGCCCTGTGTCCGTTATCTCAAGGGCCATTATTGTTGTCCTAGGGCTCGCTGTCATCAGTAATGTTGAGAGTTCCAACAGTTCTACGATAGAGTAAACATACTTTAATACAGACATATTGTTTTCTTTCTAGGGTCGCTGTAAATATAAATCATTATGTTAAAGTGCATTTATAATGCGCCAGATTCCATTCACAAAGTGGATGCTCATAGCGCTACACTATTATTACCCCAGTCAGTGATTCAGTGAGCACTCGATTTTCATTCTCAGCTCCCTGGGGAGTATACAACCCAACCCATTAGGGCGTGTCAGCCGATTTGTGGGAGGAATTCCCACGGTGATGCAGGTCTCAGGCATCTACCATGTGGGCAAACCTACGGGCTGCAATTCTACTTATAATAACGATATCTCGGACTCAGTCCCACGTTTAGTGGATATTTGCTACAAAAGACGCAACCCTTTACAATACGTTGTCAGCAGTTGATAGACTCCGTGGTCTAGTGGTAGAGCGTGGGCCCGGAGAGCGGAAGGTCCGTGGTTCGATCCCCGACCGCGTCATACCAAAAGACGTTAAAAGATGGTACTTGTTGTTACCCTGTCTGGCGCTCGGCATTAAGGGACTAAAACAAGGACTGGTCGGCTCGGAGTCAGTATACTGTGTCTGAGTGGGGTATTCATGTTAAACTGCGGCATGGTATCTCAGTGAGCTAGCACTATAAATCGGCATCAGCCCGGACTAGTACAAGCAGCCACGCACACACACACACGTACATGCACGTCGCTATATAAGTGCAATAATCTTGGACGCGACGTTAAACCCCATTTCACCTCACCAATTGATGGATCACCTGTGCCCCTGTCCCACGACCAACCTACCATGATTTGAAGACATCAAGATGAATCTTGTTCTGCGATGTTGTGTCTTTATCGCATCACTCACAGCTTGTAGAAATCGGCTATGGATATAACTGTCCAGCATGCTTGGTGCAGACAATGTTTCCGACATGTTCTGTATTGAATGTACGAAACAGTTTCCATGTACGTGAATCCTCCCCGCGCAGTCCTCGTCTGGAACGTGCTGGACTCGGCGTGGGTCGGGCAGCCCAGCGTCCGCCTCAGAATAGGGGTGGTGGACCGCCATTGTGAGGTCAACATTGTGTCGTTTGACTGATGAAGTAGATAACGGAACGTAGTGTTACGGTATGTTGAGCGAATGAAGACAAAGAGGACATCCATATTTATTACCCATAGGGTTAGAAATAAGCGAGTTCATAAAAATCCTTTTCTTTTGTTTGCTGTTTAACGCCGCACTCAGCAATATTCCAGCTATATGACGGCGGTCTGTAAATAATCGAGTCTAGACCAGACAATCCAGTGATTGACATCACGAGCATCGATGATAATGATCGTATGAGCACTTGCAAATATCACTTCTTGTGCACCAGTGTATTTTTTCTGTCATCCGGACGGCATCGTTGGCGCCATTTAAATTGTTGGCGCCATTAAAATATTGTGACGTAAGGTCTGAATAACGTCATTCTAGAAATGACGTCATAGCTGAATATTGTTTACGTCATTCGACAAGTTGTGGTTTTCTAGGACAGCGGTGGTGATCTGTCCATTTGTCTTAAGTGGAGCTCAAAAGAATCAAGAAATAACGGGTAATAAAGAAATTATTACACTCACATGTGTGTCATACTGATTTTACTAAACTCGGTAACAATTTATGTGGCACTACGTTCTCGCTCGGGACATACAAGAAATCTGACACTCGTTTCCAAAAATCAGTGTGAAACACACGCTCGTATGATAATCTGTATTAATCGCATTACGTGAAACAGTACCACCACGCGGCAACACATGCCTTCAGCCATTGATTAACATTCGAGTCAAGTATGGTGTCCACTGATATGAGATACATTGTTATACTTCATGTTGATTTGGTCAAATATATAATAAAGACACTTATATTGTGTGTGATTGAACGCTACTTTGAATATTATTTTATATAATATCAGGGCGTGTCAGCTTGATGTGGAAGGAAAGCCCGAAGTGATGCACGTCTTTGACATTTACCGCCTTAGTCAAAACTTAGAGTGTTGACAAGCCAAGAAACACGCAAAGATCCGGGGTAGAATAGACCTTCAGCAATCCATGCTTGCCGTAAAAGGTGACTATGCTTGTCGTAAGAGGTGATTGACGAGATCGCATGGTCAGGCGCGCTGACTTGGTTTGATGCATTTCCGTGGATCGATGCTCATGATATTAATCATTGAATTGTCTGATCCAGACACGGACTACTTTTCTGATTGTCATTCAACGGTAGGTTTCTCGTGCTTCAGTTGAATTTACCTAAGTCTATGTTGAAACGTGATGGTTTTAGTGTGTTAAGACATGTTCTTTGATCTTATCTAGTTTGCGTTATCTCAACCGCATTGACAATCTACAAATATGGCAGAAATTGTTTTTGTGGAGGGTCACACTAGTCTTAGTTGAACCTGTAAGATGGGATGACGTCACTTATGACAGTTGTGTTATGTATTAATGCGTCATTGCGATCATGACAAAAATAGAATAGACAAAATATGCATAGATTTGATGCTTAAGTAGTGCGATTTGGGTGTATGTACGAAATAGATTATTGCATTCGTGCCTGTCGTTGTAAAAACAGTTTGTCTGACAGACACCCATGTAGTAATCTCTATGTATTATATTGGTCTCATTTCCATAAATGGCCAAGATACCACTGATATATCTTTGGCAGTCATATACGCAGAGGAAGCTGTTCAAAGGCTAATCAAATATCTATTTCCGTGGAGCAGTTACGAAACATGTCATTGGATATCGATTTCTGTTTCTGTATTTTGATATGACCGTTCTACTTTGAAAACCAAACCAAATGTACTTGTCCGAAAAGTTATAAAGAACTCTTATTATTATCATTATACTTTGAAAAATTACATGGAACGATATAAATGATGCTTAATGATTTTTCAAATAGGTGTATATTCAAATGAAAGTGTTTAATTACATTTATTCATTGTTCAGGAAATAGATAATCCCTTACATTACACTGGGAACTTACTAGAGTCTTACTGTATCGAATTTACCTGTTTTCAGCATATCAAACAGAGAAGTGACGGGAACCATGTTCCAGGTGATAATGTTGTCTTTGTCTTCATGAATAAAGTCACGGCCACACAATTGGTTCTGTTGCACAACATCAAAGCTGGGTTGGTAGAGAAACACATCTACAAATTGAAACAAAAATAAGGTTAATGCCAGGTGCCCCACAAAGTATTTTGCCCAATAGGGTGCAACCTCTACAGCAGGACATGATTACCCTTTTCGCGAACACCTGGTGTCATAAAAGAGTGATCCACTCACATGCTTTTAACCGATATTTTGACGATACGCCCAATGGAATCTGTTTCGACTGATTAACGAGACTGGTGATTCTCGAGCGTTGGCGTTTCATATACACACGAACTGTCTGTTCACATCAGGATCCTGTTTTTATGTTTTGTTTTCATAAGTTAACCCCATCATCTTTTACATCAAAAGCAAAGGAAGTCAATTAACAGAAATCGTGTCTGACTGGACTGGTAATGATGCTCATATGTAGGGATAAAAATATGAGCACGAATTAAGCATTAAGAAGAAGAGATGGGATCAGTCAGTTTACCTGGGGAAGGAGTTTATATTTGTATCTATAATCTTTAATAATATTTGTATGTAAAATCTATAATAATAATACTTTATTTGCCTGAAAGGGAAATCGTTATACATCAATTACTGTGATGGCAAAAGCTAAAAGATAACACATGTACATGAAACAAACACAAAGAGAGAAAAAAGAAGATAAGATTTACATAAGTGAGAGATGTGACATAAAAAGAAACTCTAAAAAAACTGAGCATACAAATAATATTAGTAAATGTGGTAAAAAATAATGAAAGAATAAATGATATGCTGTTAACAGTTATTTGTATAAAAATAGCAATGCTGCATGGAATGAATGTTTTTGATGCCCTGTTGATTCTGAAACAGGGGATTTGAAAGCGGCGTCCTGAAAGTTTTTAGAGTTTATATTCATTACGAAGGAAGTGTTCAGAGTCTGTGACAATTTAGAGAGCTGGGTTTTCGATTTACCGCAGGCCTAAAAGAGGAAGAATCTGAAGGGACTCCAGATATTTTGCTTGGAATTTTAATGATTTTAGATATTTTGTTTTTGTTTGTAGAGAAGGGGATCCTAACCAACTGGGCACACAGACATACAGGATGCTTTGAATAAAGGATTTGTAAACAGAACAAAAGTAAAATTGCTGACATTGCAAACATGACTAGATAGTTCCGATATTTTGATAAAGGGCTGTTATTTTCAACTGAGTGCATGTGACAGTGAGCAATTGATTCATACTTCCGCAGCCGTAACAGTAGATATGTGTGTTTTTTTTCCAGAACGATTGAAGCATACTCCGCCTGTATAAAAAGGCTTTTTACACAATTTACACTTGTCAGCGGGGTACACAGAACCTGAGTTTGACTGCCAGTTGTGCGACCATAATTCTGTGGTGGTTGAGTGGGTTAGATCACTGACTTTGTGTGCTGGCGATTAGTACCTCACGCTAAGAGTGTGGTTCGGGATGGTACTCAACCAAAAAAAGTACACAAGTGCCAGACTTTAACTAAGAAGTGTTATCCCAAATATAACATTTGTTACATGAGAATTGTTGGACGTTAACCCTCTGATTGTACTGTATATTGATTTATTACCTGATTGTTCTTAAACCCAAAGCCCTGTGTGACAGTGTTAGGAATAGGGAGGGTACTGCCTCCGCGATCATTACCAAAATGCCCCTGGCAAAACAAAGTGTCTTGGTCTTGGTCAGTAGTCTGACACTTTAACCATCAGACCTCAGAACTGGTTGGGCCCTGAGCTGATGATAAACCTAACCAGCCTGACTGTGCCCGGTTCACTCAAACCCTTTTTCATTTTATAATAATAATAATAATAATAATAATAATAATAATAATAATAACGAGCCAAGGATGTGGGGCATAATCTCAATGTCAGTGTTGATTTTATTGATGGTTCTGTACTGCTTGACAGAAATGAGTGTCAACCAAGTGAAGTGCCATATGAAATCGGCCCAGACTCAGTTTATCAAGGGGAAGGCTATCTGAACGACCACTGCATCGAGTTTATGTACAGTGTGTTGAGAAGTTCAGCAACCCTGCGGAGTCATTCGTTTGGATGAGGTCGGTTGGCCTGAAAACAGAAGGCTTTCATTTATGCTGCTCAGGACTAGTCACTTCCCACTCGAAACCGCCAATGTATGATTTTTTATCAAAATGTAAATATGAAATGTATATCATGCAATGAATTTACTGATTGCTGTCACATTGTCAGTGAATGCCCAGCTTTGGCACAAACACAGTATCTTAAGCGACATGATGGAGTGGCTCGATCATTTTATTACCGTTTTCGCAATGCTTGTTGTTTTGACACAGAGATCGGTCCGTCCATGTTACGACCTAGAATATGCTGTCATGGAAAATGATAACTACAAAATTCTTTGGAATAGGCCCGCATACAGCCTCTGACCTATCCAGGCCAACACACCTGATCTTGTCCTTTTTAATAAATCAAATGAAATCATATATATTGTTGAATTTTGTGTCCCATTTGACAGTAATGTAGTTGACAAGATTCATGAAAAACATGGCAAATATGCAGACCTCGCATTCGAAATGTCACGCTTGCATCCCAAGTACCGAGTTGCCCGACTCCCAATTGTTCTCGGTGCCTTAGGTTTGGTACCTCCCAATCTGTTGACTGTCATTGGGAGAGTACCCGGGTTTGCTGCCAAGAATACAGCCCTTCTGACAATCTGTGTAATGCAGAAGGCTGCAGTGTTGGGGCGTCTTCACATTCTCCGAAAAATTCTAGGTGGGTTTGACTAGGCAGCGCTTTCCGGGAGAAGTCCCATTTGCTGTCTGGACTGCATGTAGAGGGGACATGGGCCTTAAGCTGATGATATTGAGCCTAACCAGCCTGACTGTGCCAGGAACGTCCATACCCTCTTTGCTGCATTTTATATCTTTATATATATTAATATGTGCATAGTAATGATAATCCCAACATCCCTTTCTGGCTCCTTTCTGCTCCATTTAAATATTGTCATTCATGATTGGAAGCGCAGTATGATGAGACAAGATCTGTAAGACACCCTGTAAATATTTTGATTTGTAAATAATATAAGATGATATTTAGCTACACATTCAGAAATGTCATTGCAATCACATCTTCATGTAACCAGAACTTTTGATATATAACACTGGCGATTTATACATTTATCGTTTAAATCATGCATAAATTGAAGTTCATGTTAGTAAGAAGATACATCATATGTTATGGACCGTTATTCCACACGTTATCGCTATATTACCTCCATACTAATCATTATACGTTTTTCATGTAATGTGTATTTGTTTACTGGTTCCAGATGTGACACGTTTTTCCCAATATTTTAATATTTGTCTTTATGGTAGCAAGGACCAAAAAAAGCCATAAAACCCTTTCCTCAATCATATGAAATCTATGTCCATTGTACGATTGTTACATATCAACTCCTTCATTCCTATCACTTTGCTTTAATGCCATAAGAGGTTTAAAAGGAATAATTCATACCGGCTTGTGATATTTGTCACGAAGTGGCGCTAGCTGGTCTCAAACGTACGGAAGCGTAGTGGGGCCACGGTGAATGTTTTTTTGGTCTAAGTATCTCCTACGTAGGACTTACTATCTCTTATGTAGGACTTAGTATCTCCTACGTAGGAGATAGTAAGTCCTGCGTAGGAGATACTAAGTCCTACGTAGGAGATACTAAGTCCTACGTAGGAGATACTAAGTCCTACGTAGGAGATACTTAGACAAAAATCATTTTCACCGTGGCCCTACTACGCTTTCGTACAAACGCTTCATGTTTTTGAATATGGTTTTTTCCACAACTCATGCCAGGTTGAAAAGAATCGTTCCATCATGTGTGTCATGTGTGTCATTTAACGTGTGTGACCCTTTTCCCCAAACAGCAGCATTGTATTAAATATTTAACATTTATAACATTAGTCCACAGGTTCAATCACAGGGCTGGAAGTAGCGGTGATGCATCACCAGAAAGCATTGTCAGATGACTGCTGACAGATGCGTACTAATTAACTCTGAAGGAATAACTGCGATACATGTGTCATTGTTCGCTAGTTGGTCTGACTATTTCGAGGCTATTCACTAAGTGCAAAATACCCTGTACACATGCATATAGGATATCTGACAATTTACACAGAATCCGTTTGAATGTGGTAATAAGACCATGGCAATGGATGTGATTCATGTCATGTGTATAGACTTCTCATCTGTACACTGAGCCGAGTACTACATTGGCGTTTTTATGCAACCGATTGTACGTATATGCTTAGCTCTCGTTCGTGAAAAAAAAACATGTTCCATTCGTTTGGTAAAATGAGTACAACCTAATGTAATAATCTCTGTGTGTTCTTGGCCTCAAAATATGCATTTACCCCCAGACAGATCAATTTTAGCATTGGTTTGGACTTGTGGCCAACAGACCAGCAAAGAAACACCCCAACAAGTCAGTTGAGTCAATATTGTCGTTTGTGATGTTTAACTCGATGGAAGGTTGAACCCATTAATGAGACGTATTGCAGTGATAACAGATTGCTAAGTTTTGTCAATCATCGTATAGACTGACAGCAAATTAAAGTATACACCAATGTTTGATGGTGGCCAAAAATCTATGGTGATGTATTTGATACGGTATCGTAGCCGTGGTTCTACCTTACCTTTGCAGTGAATTGGCGACTTTTTTTCAGCCTTGTAACGTTTTCATAACGTTTGTATTTTTTTTAGTCAAATCCAGTTTTCAAGCGTATGCTTTTTTTGTTACCAAGGCGATAATACTAACCTGTCGAAACACGATGGTATTGAATTTACTCAACCCTAAGGTCCTCATACAGGAATGTCTTTTGCAGGCAAAAATGAACATGATAACATTCTTCACTCAGCATATCTTCACAATCTTGACATAACGCATTATATTATTTGTGCTACATAACACGTTTCTGTTTAAGTTAGGCGAAGAGAATCGAATCGAATTGCAGTCCGAACACCTAGTATTCATCACTATGTGCTATTGTCGAAATCGTACAATGGAATGTGGAAAGGGTTTTTGTTACTTATATTTATCACCGATGGGGCAGGATTTTGTACTTTTTCGGTAAACAGCTGGTATCATTGTTGCGGCCATAATATTTCCGAGTCCCGTGATGGGATTCGAACCACGGACCTTCTGACCCAGGTCGGACGCCTTGTCCACATGACCAAAGAGGTTTACCCCGTCAGCAAGCTGACAAGGTAAGGATGTCATCTGTTTGACGACTTCACGCCCTGCCACATACTCCTCCGTCAACAGAAGGCACGTCCCGGGCCGCATAATAGGGTACTGAGGCTTATTTTGCTCAAATTTAATATGAACGTGCTCAGCCCCACGTTGGACACTTTTTGATTGTGATTCATAAACACATGCTCATGATATCGTCAAATCGTCTGTGCTTTTAGCGTAGATTTCTTATGAATTTAATGTATATTAAAAGGGTTTGGTTGCTTTTATTTATCTCATGAATCGAGTGATTTATTGAGTGAGTGAGTATAGTACTACGCCGCTTTTAGCAATATTCCAGCAATATCACGGCGAGGGACACCAGAAATGGGCTTCAGGCATTGTACCCATGTCGGGAGCCGAACCCAGGTCTTCGACGTGACGAGCGAACGTTTTAACCACTAGGCTACCCGACCGCCCCTCATGAATAGAGACTTGTAAACAATAGTTGGAAGGAATTTGACCCTGAACTATGGTGACACCATGACGCCTTGATGCATGTCTCAATCCCTGCTTAAATATATACAATGAATGGTATGGTATTTCAGTGGGCTGGCATTATAAAACCTGCATAATTTACATCCCTCAAGCCATCTGTTCACAATATTTGTATACGCAATTTGTCCATGTCTATATCCCTGCTATACAAATATGATTCATAAACACACGCTTATGGTATAGTCGGTATTGTACATTTGTATCAGAGATTTCTTACAGTTGTCGCAAGGGTATTCCAAATCAGAAATCTAGAAGCTCCAATGAACCAGATATGTCGCTTAATCATATCTTGCCCGTCTAAACCTCGAAAAGCAACATATTGTTTGTTAACAGAAATGAAGAAATCTTAAAACAAATATTTACATACCGATAGATACATTCCATGTATTCAGTGGTGTGATGAGTGCTACTAGAATAGATGACAAGAATAAAAGTCCGTTGGGGTGATGTGATTCCATCATGCCGTGTCCTGTACCCAGGCTGGAGACTCTGGCAACAGAGTCAATCAATATGGCGTACTTCGACCACGACAAGGGCAGCTGGTGACACTGACGATGTACACACTGGTTTAATAATGCAATGAGGAGAATGTATGCATAATTGAACCTTCATCAGATTCAGTGCAAATCATTGACGAGAATACATTAAATCATTACAATCATTTCTCATTTATAAGGCGAGAGTATGTTGACATAGGAAACGATCCCCTTGGCCTCCGTGATGTGTCTTGTATGGAAGGGTATTAGTAAGCTGAAGTGTGGTGTGGGGCTACACATAAACTAATTGAATTATCAAAGTTTGGACGTACTACGTGTTATGATTAATCCAATTGTGAGTTAAAACTTACCAACTACGTCACAACTTTACCATCTTCCCGAGGCAAGAGAGTTAACTGACTTTAAAAGTCCAGTTTCCACCCTTGCCGAACTAGGCTGGAATTAATGGGCTCGATCGTTGCGCCACCAGTGGCTATTACCAGTTATGTCCCTTCTAAGCCTCTCCTAAGCCTCTCCAGGTTCCACTTCTCGTATCACTTGTGTTTGCTTCACACAAAATGGTGGCGCCCAGTCAGGACGATCTGATCGATAATAAGGATCCATATTGTGATAAAACGGGTCTTACATCGCGAAATGCATCAAATCACGTGAGCACCTTGATTAAAAACATGAAAAGATTTGGAGAACCGGATTTCGATTTCGGTGCGCGATTTTGATTGGACTATACATAGACTCGTTAGCCCAGCCAAAATGTAACTCCATAATACCAGCCTAGTTCGGCAAGGGTGGAAACTGGACTTTTAAAGTCAGTTAACTCTCTTGCCTCGGGAAGATGCAACTTTACTGATAAGATAGATTATGGAGTACGATTACTCAAAATCGAGCAAAAAACACCTGATCCAAATATTCATACCTTATGACAAACAGATGTTCCTGAAGACGAATGCTATTCTACATCCCACGGATGCTCATAAGTAATTGCACAACTTGCCATTTATTTCTTACTGTTTCCATTCTATGTCTATTTTTCCACTTTACTGTGTGTTCTTTAAAAGATGTTAAAATACAGTGTTTACAGTTGCTTTTTCTTCCACCGATTCAATCAAATGACACTACTGCTACTACTGAAGCTGTTAGCAGCACTTTTTACACTTAAGACATTGCATATTACTGTCTACAAACTAAAAAGGTTGGAAGAATGATGTTAGCACTCGTTGATAAAAGAGGAAATACTCCTCGGCAAGCCTCGGAGTTTTTTCACTTTTATCAACTCGCGTTGATATATTTAATGTCAAAAGACACGAGGATGAGATTTTATTTATCACCGGTGGGGTAGGATGTACCTTTTCATGCTTATCACTATTTGATAGAGGTTCATAAACAAGTGCTCATGATATCGGAATTCTGCTTTCTCTATTGAAAGGGTATTGTCGCTTTTATTTATCTTGGAGACAGCAATAGACACTTGATAGTTGGAAGGAATTTGATGTTCAATATGCTGGTACCATGTTTGGCTTGTCCAATCACTTCTAAGTTATATACAATGAGTATATGTACATCAACAGCATGCTTGTCTCCGTGGTGTATGGGATACAACAACGTTTGTTTGTTTGTTTGTCTGTTGTTTAACGCCGCACTCTGCAATATTCCAGCTATATGACGGCGGTCTGTAAATAATCTAGTCTGGACTAGACAATCCAGTGATTGACATCATGGGCATCGATCCACGCAATTGGGATACGATGACATGCATCAACGAAGTCAACGAGCCTGACCACTCGATCCCGTTAGTCGACTCCTACGACAAGCATTGTCGCCTTTTACGGCAAGCATGGGTTGCTGAAGACCTATTCTAACCTATCGTAGCGGTAGCGAGCACTAAGATTTCATGAGATTGAGATCCCGTTAGCCGCCTCTTATGGCAATCATAGTCGCCTCTTACGACAAGCATGGGTTGCTGAAGACCTGTTCTCACCCGGATCTGCACGGGTAGGGACACAACAGTATGGTGTGTCTGGGGAATCAATGTTAAACTGCGGCCTGGTATCTCAGTGCGCTAGTCTTATAAAACCGGCATAATTTACATCCCATATGTCATCTGTACGCAACGTGTCTATTTCTATATACCTGCTATACACATTTGATTCATAAACAAATGCTTATGATATATCCGGATTCATACATTCCTATTTTATCAGGGATTTCTTACAATTACCGAAAGGGTGTTCCAAATCTGAAATCTAGAAAATCGTATGAACGAGATAGGTCACTTTATCATATTTTGTCCAATCCTCAGTTTCTCCTAATTGGGAGTTTTTACAGATACCCATTTCAACGTCCCTTTTTTCACATCTACGTCTAAAATTTACACTGAAATTGTGTAATGCCCTAACAAGCGATTTATCATCTTACATACTTATAAACTGCTCTGGTTCTATAGCAGACTTGATATCCTTGTGTAGGCTTAAGAAACGAGAAGAAGATATACTATCATGCCAGTTTTGACTATACATAACCTGTAACCTTTGTTTAAAAGAGTATGACAACAAATTTGTATCCCCTATATTTTGGGATATCCATACAAATGATCATGAATAGCCACATGAAAATAATAAATATCTGACATTGGACACCCAAATCGTTTTGCCTTTGTCATCGGGAGCTTTCGGTAGTTTATTACATTGGTGAGGATATCTTTGCGGCTTCATCCTCAGTGATTTTAACCAATATTTTGTCTTAAGTTGACTTAATACATGAATGGGATAACGTCCTGTTTCACCTAAAATAGCTTTGTTGAAAGCATATTTTCCAACCATTAAAAGCGCTTAAAGTAGGATTAATGTACTTTTTCAATAGCGTCATTATATTTTGCGCCCCATATTTCTGCTCCATATATCAAGATTGGCGCGATTTTGCCGTTAAATATAGTACAAGCTGTAAAAAAGGATACATGTATATTTTTCTTGAAAAACTTTTAGATAGGTATAATTGTTTTTGATGCCTGCGATGCTAGTGACCATGATAGTTTAGATGATAGCGTCAAACCTAAATATTAATAATAAGTAACAATTTTTAAGGCGATATTAATTTAAAAAGGTTCATCACGAGTTTTTTTTTAAATCGGAAATATCAACCGAGTCTTAGTTAATCGGTATTTGCCGAGCCTTTGGATTATTTTAAACAAAATACTTGAACAGACTTTTGCAGGATAATTGAAACTTGAATAACGGTAACAACGACGATTCTGTGTAATCTGATAATATGTCACTTGAAGAATGTCTCGCGGAGGAGAGGTCAAGGCAGATGATGTATTAGTCGGTGTCACTATCACTTTCAATGACAATCCGGCGTCTTTTGACTGGGACCGGGCTTGGAGGTTTAACGAGATTAATCGTTATGTTTCCACCAGTAATGTTGCCAGCAACCATAGTGTTGACACCACCAGAAACATATATTATTTGAGACCGCTGACTGTGTTGTTAACTGTCGATTTGGACATTACGCGAGGGGCCGCTCTGCATGACGGGAGTTTCATCAACAAGCTGGGATGTCACAGCGTGGGATGGAGTGTTTCGTGTGCTCGTCAGGATTAATATGGCAGTAATTGTTCACAGAATGGATGTTTTTGTGGCCTCTTATCTGCATTACATGATTTGGCGGAACATTATTGTCATTCAACTTTTGCACAAGGTGTTTGCGCGCAGAGTGATTTATGAGACGTTTCGATGTTTGGAGACTGGCGGCATCGCACATGTTTTTCATGAGAGAGGAAAGTTTGATTTTCCAAATACGATAGCGGATAAATCACTGATTGACAGGTTTAGGCATGCCTAAAGTGTGTGTGCCGATGTGAAAGGCAGAAGTAGTCGAGTGGACGCGTTGAGGCATACAACTTTTACATTTGCACAGGGCATTTCGAGAAATTCGGATATCACTGTAGCACTTTCCCTTTGATCTATTAAACATTTTCTCCAACACCAAAGGTATCCGTGTCGTTTGTGAACACCTACTCACGTGCATCAGCGAAAAAAGTCCGACTTCTGGTTATCTAATTTGCATATCTAATTTGCATACTTATGTCATTAGGGTATGACATACATGTTTTTATTTCATATGCTTAAATCATGGATAAATGCTCTAGTTAAATGATAAATGTCCATTTTTCATTTTTGGCAATGATACCTCCATTTCTAAAAACAATTACATTTGTTTTTGACAAATTAACTTCCAATCCACATCTACTACAACAAGAATGTAATCCGTTCAATTGTTTCTGTAGACAATTAACAAAGTATGAAAACATTATAATAGCAGCAAATAGAAGTAACATTAAATCTCTAATATCTTGTGTTAAAAACACACCATGATGACATCGCTATATATTTCTGTCACGACTCATTAATGAAAACAATTTCTCTTTTATTTCTTTTAGATATGGTGCTGAAATCACTTGACTTAATCCTTTGGGTCTGCTTCAAAATGTACCCAATGTGCTGAAACATGTCATGCGCAGTCCATTTATCAGAATGTTCTCTCGCGAGAGATGCCTATTGTATTGGCTGAGTGACGTCGATCATCAAAAATCATATCATGTATGTTATCAACATGTTCCTTAGTTGTGACAGTTGAAGGTTTTCATGACCTTGGATCGTCTTCGAGGAGGTTCTTTCCCTCTTGAATTCCGCTCCCACCTGAAAACAGTGACAAAGGAAAGGGCATCACTTTGTCCGCAGATGGCTATTAGAGATGATTAACGAAAATTTTGTCTATTGTCATCAACACTGAATATCTAGTCACTTTGATGTCTGCAGAGATATGCTGCAAGGTTTTGTATTTGGTTCTGTTGTACTGAATACATGCAAGCTGTCGAGAGTTTACTATACATCCTTCGTAGTTATCCAGGCTTATTTATGTTGTCATTTACATTACCCTCAGATATTTACTGTTCAGGTTCAGAGTTGTGCCTTATCGTATCGAAACCGGGGCTCCCA